GCAGCTGGTGGCAGGGCAGGCGGATTGCACTGTGCCGCCCCGCCTGCAGTATGCAAATTTAACGGCCATCTTTGTTGGGTTAATTTGCATACTCTTCTGATTGGCTGATGGGCGTAGCGAAGGTACGGTCAATTAATATATTTGTCTTTTATTAGTGTAGATATATCATTACATATGTGAAGTCCAATGTTGTTCTTTGGAGTTTAGGAGAGAATGGAAAATTAGACTAGAATATTTGAGGATGGAAATAGTTAACATATTTTTCCTATTCCTGCCTTTGAACACTTTTTAAAATATATTTTTATTGATTTCAAAGAGGAAGGGAGAGGGAGAGAGAGATAGAAACATCAGTGATGAGAAAGAATCATTGATCAGCTGCCTCCTGCACGCCCCCCACTGGGGATCGGGCCCTCAAGCCCTGCATGTGCCCTGACCAGGAATCGAACCAGTGACTTCCTGCCCTGCATGTGCCCTGACCAGGAATTGAACCAGTGACTTCCTAGTTCATAGGTCAACATTCAACCACTGAGCCATGCCAGCTGGGTTGAACATTTTTAATTAAAGGAAAAGAAAAAAATTTTCTCCCAGTATTCTTAAAAACTGCTTTTTAGGCCAGCATATCTTTATGTACAAACTATATGATTTAAATATTTTACTATATATCTGTAATATGTATAATAATACAATAAGGCATTCACAATGAGTGGCATTTAAAAAAAATTTAATTATAAGACTTTTTCAAACTGTTGTATTACTCAGACTACTGTGTTGAAGTGAAGCAGTTATTCTGCCTTCCTGAAGAGTAGGAATAGCCCATAATATAATGTATAAAACAAATATATAAACTTAAAAACACAAGAAAGGTATATGCCATAGTGACATGCTAAAGCAGTAAAGATTATTTCCATATAATGGAAATTTTAAATGTCAGATCTACACACTGGTCTACACACTATAAAAATCGTGAATAGAAATTTAAGTATTTTAATCTAACAAAGGGCATTTTATCACATTGATTGGTTGCCTCCTGCACTTGCCCTGGAGCCTGTGCCCTTAACAGGAATCGAACCCAGGACCCTTCAGTCCGCAGGCTGATGCTCTATCCACTGAGCCAAACTGCTAGTCATGCCTAAATTTTTAACCTAACCTACACTGTTAACTGATCCATACTTAAATACAGAGATACTGTTTTATATATGCACCTGGCATTGGCTCTCAAAAAAGACATGCAATAAATACAATAAACATATAATTATTTTTCAGTTTTTGTTTCTTCTTATTCCATATGTCCAACTTTATTTTTTTTTTAAATAATTTACCAGATAGGAGTGCTCTTTAATCACTCTGCTATTTCTACAGATGGTTCTCCCTCATCTGTAGAATAAAGTAAAACTGGTTACAAAACACATCAGAACTTTCAAATCTGGGCCCCAAACTACCTTCTTTTCCACTGGATCATCACTTTGACTCCCAGAACTGCCTGAGCCCTCTCCCTTGGCGAATCTGACTCTGCTTCCCTCTAATTAAGGAAGTCACTTCCAGGTTCCCAGATTTGGAAATGAGGGAGGAAAGTTACTTATCCTGACAGCCCTGCAAAGGGTCTCCCAGGAATGACATCAGGGGTAGAGTGGGATTCTATGGGGTTCACACTATTCTGTGGTGGGTGGACCCCTTAGTCCTCATTCATGAAGATCCTCATCTTGGATCCTGATTTGTGTTGGCCCTTTTCAAGAAAAATTTTAAAGAGAGCAGAATGATAGTTATAATTTAGATTTGATTAGTTGGCAAGAGAAAATATAAGATGAAAAGCAATTATAAAAAGCATTGTTCAATATTTTATTTAATCACAGAAGCATCTACATTTACAGGCATACCTCCTTTTATTATGCTTTATAGGTATTGCATTTTTTTTTTTTTTTACAATTTGAAGGTTTGTAGCAACCCTGCATTGGGCAATTCTATTGGTGCCATTTTTCCAACAAGCTCAGATGATGGTTAGAATTTTTTAGCAATAAAGTATTTTTTAATTAAAGTGTACACATTGTTAGGAGATAATGCTATTGCACATTTACTAGACTACAGTATAGTAGTAACATAACTTTTATATGCATTGGGAAACCAAAAAAAAAATGATGTGACTTGCTTTATTGCAATATTTGCTTTATTGCAGTTGTCTGGACCAAACCTGCAATATTTTCAAGGTATGCTTGTATTTGAAAAATAGTGGCACACATGTGTGAGACATTTAGTCTACAGATAGTATGTAGCATAGTGATTAAGAGCTCAAATTCTGGACCTAGTTTGAATCCATCACTTGCTAACTAACTTTGAGTAAGTTACTTGATCATCTATGCCTCCATTTTCTCATCTGTAAAATGAATAATAATTGTACCTACCTTGTAGATCTGTCATATAGATTATAAATTAGTTAATATATATGAAAAGCCTGGAAGAGTACCTAGCACATTGTAAGCACTATTGAAAGTGTTTGCTGGAGATTAAAAATGGCAATGGAGTAAGTGGAAGCTACACTGACACTCTCCCAGAACCAAACTGGAAATACAACTAAAATACAGAAAAAAACACCCTGAAAAGTAAACTGAAGACTAGCTAGAGCAGCGGTTCTCAACCTGTGAGTTGCGACCCCTTTGGGGGTCGAACGACCCTTTCACAGGGGTCGCCTAAGACCATCGGAAAACACATATATAATTACATATTGTTTTTGTGATTTATCCCTATGCTTTAATTATGTTCAATTTGTAACAATGAAAATACATCCTGCATATCAGATATTTACATTACGATTCATAACAGTAGCAAAATTACAGTTACGAAGTAGCAATGAAAATAATTTTATGGTTGGGGGTCACCACAGCATGAGGAACTGTATTAAAGGGTCGCAGCATTAGGAAGGTTGAGAACCACTGAGCTAGAGAGAACCCTTATAACCAAGGATGGAAAGTGGAGACCACATAGAGACTGGTAGGAAGTGTGGACGCACAAAAGAGCTGGCCAGGATTCCACAGACAGCAGCTGAAGATCTGGAGGGATATCTCGGCCATGGGGAGTTCACACTGAGAACTTTGGAGTCTAAACCCCAGTCCAGAGAACCAGAACTGAGAGGGACCCCACAGAACATCTGGCTGTGAAAAGCAGCAGGGTTGCTGTCTGCCAGAGATGGCTGGATATGCAGGCACCTTCTTAAAGGGCCAATGCACAAAATTTCATGTGCAGCCACTTACCTTGGGCTCCAGCACGGGGAGGGCAGAGTGGACTGGAGCTGAGTGAGGAGAGTCCAGGGTTGGGGGCTCGAGGGTTGAACTCAGAAAGCAGTCACTCAGTTTTCCTATGCTGAGTCATTCCCTCTTGCTACAGAGGATATCTTCTCCAGTGGACCTTTACTATCCAGAAGGTTTTTGACTAAGGAGAAGGCGGTTGCTCCCACCCTGTTGGAAGCCCTCTTGCCCCACCCTGTGGTCTGTAGTCTGAGGCAAATTATGTCTCTGAGAATAACAGTCAGACTTCAGGCAGAGGTGGATCTCTGGAGGCTTTGAGTCTTTGCCTAATTTCCTTCTGGGCTTGGGGCTAGGAAAAGTAGAACCTGGTGTATATTTTGGTCCTTTCCAAAGGCACCCAGCCACAGCAGAGGGAGCACAAGCTGTGGATTGTTGATAGCTCCAAAGAGAGGACTCAGGGCGAGTCAGAAACAGTATCTGACATTGTCCTGCATTAGAGATTGGGAGTTGTAGCAGATCTACCTAATACATAGACACAAACCCAGATAGGCAACCAAAATGGGGAGACAAAGAAACAACCCCCAAATGAAAGAACAAGAGAATTCTCCAGAAGAAGAGGTACACGACATAGAGATAAGAAATTTATCAGGTATAGAGTTTAGAATAATGATGTCAAAGATGCTCAACAGCATGAGAAAAGATATAGTAACTATGGAAAAAGACCAGTCAGAAATAAGAATGACATAGCACTAATAAATAATAACATTGGAAGGAATACACAGCAGATTAGGGAAAGCCAAGGTTCAGATCAGTGGATTAGAAAAGAGGGTAGAGCCCCAACTGGTTTGGCTCAGTGGATGGAGCGCCAGCCTACAGACTGAAGGGTCCCAGGTTCGATTCTGGTCAAGGACATGTACCTTGGTTGCAGGCACATCCCCAGTAGGGAGTGTTCAGGAGGCAGCTGATCGATGTTTTTCTCTCATCGATGAACAATTTTAAAAAAGGAAGAAGAGGGAATAATCAGTGAAAGATCCTGTGATGAGAGCATTTCTGGCATGTTTGAGGAGCAGCAGTGAGGTCTGTATGGCTGAAATTGAGCAAGCAAGAAAGAGAGCAGTAAGAAATGAAGTTGAGAGATGGGATCATGTAGGACTATTGTAAGGACTTTGGTTTTTACAGTGAGGGAGATGGGGCGTCGGTGTAGAGTTTTGAGTAGAGGAATGACATCATCTGACATAGGTTTCTAACAATTGGCTGCTGTACTGAAAATAAACTGATGGATTGGAGCTGAGATGTTAGAGAAAGAGAAGAGTCAAAGATGATGACATATTTTTTGGCCAGACAAACTGAAAGGGAGTGGGGAGATTGAGGATGAGGCAGATTTGGGGGCAGGAGGGGATGCCAGGAGTTTTTGACATGTTTGTGAAAATAACCAGACATCCAAGGACAGATTTGAGTAAGCAAATTAGATATCTAAATCTGGAATCTAGGGAAGAAGTCCTCAAGTAAAGATTGTATTTAAAGCTACAAGTCCTCTAATCCACCAATACCATATAATTAATAAGATAATATTTTATTTTTCTTCTCTTAAATAGGCTCTTAAAAATTGTTGGCTTAATCTTCCCCTGTCTCCAAAGAGAATAAATATGTTCCTTTTCTTATATTTCAGGATCTTCAAGATGAAGTCCAAAGGGAGAGTACTAATCTGCAAAATCTCCAGGCCCAGAAACAACAAGTACAGGAACTCCTCGATGGGCTGGATGAGCAGAAAGCCCAGCTGGAGGAACAACTCCAGGAAGTCAGAAAGAAATGCTCTGAGGAGGCCCAGCTGGTAAAGACTGGCCATTTACTGCTGTGTATTTACACCTTAGTTGCTTTCCCTGGCTTAAAATGGGAACATTTCTCTGTTGTTGCTGTCATTAGGTGGCAATCTCTAATCAACTTCAGGCACATGAAGGAAATGGAACTGAGTTCACTCAGAAATTACAGGCCTTTTTTAGGGAAAATAGGGCACTTAATGTACTATTTTTCCAAATTTTATTTGGAAGTACGGTACCTGTGCCTTTTCACTATTTATTCCCTAATTGTCTTTTCTATCAAGTGTTTACATTTAAAAATACCAAAATAGTAAGCTAAACAAATAAATGTATTGTATTATGGAACATTTTAATGACATCTCTTTTTTTAATCCTTCTTCTCATTCACCTCCATATTATAGATCTCATCCTTGAAAGCTGAGTTAACTAGTCAAGAATCGCAGATCTCCACTTATGAAGAAGAGCTGGCCAAAGCTAGGGAAGAGCTGAGTCGCCTACAGCAAGAAACAGCAGAATTGGAGGAGAGTGTGGAGTCAGGGAAGGCCCAGCTGGGACCTCTTCAGCAGCACCTGCAAGATTCACAGCAGGAACTTAGTTCAGTAAGTCTTTTCTTTTTTTTTAAATTTTGTTTTATTAAAGTATTACAAAGAGTATTACATATGTCTCCTTTTTCCCCCCCCGCTTGACATTCCCCCGGCCTCCCCTACCCCCTAGGGTCTTATGTCCATTCGTTATGCTTATATGCATGCATACAAGTCCTTCAGTTGATCTCTTACCCGCCCCCAAGATATGTATTTGTTGTTTATAATTTTTATCTTTACCTTTTTCTTCTTCCTCTTCTTAAAGAATACCCTTCAGCATTTCATAAATCCTGGTTTGGTGGTGATGAACTCCTTTAGCTTTTTCTTGTCTGTGAAGCTCTTTATCTGACCTTCAATTCTACATGATAGCTTTGCTGGGTAGAGTAATCTTGGTTGTAGGTCCTTCCTATTCATCACTTTGAATATTTCTTGCCACTCCCT